CGCACGAAAATCCGTGCTGCCGCACCACCTGCACAGAGAAATGTGGACCCACGGGCGGGTTCCATTAATTCTAATGGCACGCCACCCACACTGGAAATCACAACCATACTGGGAACCGAGGTTCCCGTGCAGCTGTGTGTCACGGGCACCCTCTCTTGCCCGTGCAAAACGCGGCCCACACGGCCGCAGAGATGTGAACTGGGGGTGAAAGGTTAAAAATGTGTGGATTTATTCCAGTGTACGGCCCTGCAATTACACACTCAGACATCTGAATCGACCTTTATGCACCAGACATCATTGAGGTATGGTCTCCATTGCTTCATTATTCCAAGTCACCCACTAATTCCAAGCTATATTGAAAGTGGGAAGACCAACAATGGTTGAGGTTTTCTTATAATCAAGCACAGATCTGAAGTTTGTTTACTGATACTTAGGAATGTCTGTATGAAAGGGGCCTAATAGATCATCCACATCAGGGCCCGTCTTCCCATTTGTCAGGCTGACCCAATCTTTACCTCTATTCTGCTCTATGGAGTGGCGGGTGTAAACAGACATGTGTCGCCGACATCCAATCCACTAAAAAGACAGATTGGGATCCATTCCATCGGATCGGATGGGATGGCAGTCGGATAGAAATGGACAGGTGGTCCGTTTCCATCCAACCACCCATAGAGGACAGCAGGCTGTGTCTGTGCCTGCTCTGAAGCAGCGAGGTAGACACGGACCTTTCATCCGCTTGCTCAACGGGGATCAGCAGAGAGATCCCCACTGAGCAAGTGGATCCATTGATGGGTCCGCCCTGTGTCAAAGGGGCCTTGCAGGGTTTCTCAATCATGGTTCCATGGCACCCTAGGGTTCCTCCAGAGGTTGCTAGGAGTTCCTCCAGCAACAAGCAGATTCATCTTCTCACATAAGTTCCCACTAAAACTATTGATCTTTTTAGCTATCTATAAAGGGGCAATTCTTCCGAATGACTAAAAGTGTAAAGAGCATTCTTCCCACTGACCATCACATTGATGTATCATGAGTTGTGAATAGGGTCTTTTTAGCAGGGATCCCCTGAGACTGGAAAGTTATTTCAACAGTTCCTTTGTGTTGAAAGCATTGCAAAAAGCTGATCTATTAAACGGAGCACAAACTGTGATGCAATATTTGACGTTTTGCCCAATAGAGTGACATTTTATGAAATTTTTTTAGAACTGATGATTTAAGGCAGTATTAAACCCAAAAGCTAACGTATTATGTTGCAGCTTACCAAATGTGATGGCTGTATTAGTTTCCTTTTTAGGCTCTCTTCTATACTCAACTGGTGATCCAGTCAGCAAGTCTGTTTTTCAAAAGTACAACCTCTCAAACACAATGTATTAGTTTACATGGATGAGGCAATCCATTTACGACTGACATGCATGATTAAAATAATAAGCTTTTTCTATTCATGTAAAACGTTTATCCCAAAAGAAAAAAAAACAGTTGATGTAACTCATTACAAAGAGTGAGCTGGGGTTAAGCTTCAAATTGCTATTGTATTCCAATCTTCTAATACATATACCACTCCCCCCCCCCCCCCCCCCCATACTGACAATGCTGCCGTCAGCTGTGCCTCCCGTGCTCCTTCTCCTCCTGGGGTCTCACTAATACTGGAGGTGTGCTACTGGCCAGATCACCAGGTTATAACAGAGGGGGGAAAATACCCAATAAAAGAAAACTGATGCAGCCACCACATCTGATTGATATGCTGCAATATTTTACAATTTCTGGTTTTGGGTTTAATACTGCTTTAAGGATGAATTTCCCTATAAAGTCCATGCATTATATGCATTATTATACTTCATGCAAAGCCATATATTTGAATTGAAGTTTTAAAAAAGGTACAGTATTTGCCTCGCAATTTCCTTCAATGTATGCATATTTCATCTGAGAGGTTATATGTGCATGAGAAGTGGAACGAAAGTAACCTTCTCTGTGATTTATATCATTTGCATGTATTCTCTGATTGGCATCAGTGCATGGCATAATCTACATAACATGGCGTAATAAACACTCCTTCTGGGCACACTATTTCCCTGCTTTAAAACAATACCACACGGAAAAGGTCCTTGTGTTTATATCTCCATTGGATTGAATCTTCAGGATCTTATACGCACAATAAAAGATGCTTTGCAGAATAGGGGTTTATTATCTAAAGGTGGAGAGTGCAAAAATCATAGTCTTTTTTGCATAGAAACCAATTAGCTTCCAGGTTTTATTACCAAAGCTGAAAAGTGTTACTAAACTCACAACAGTAAAATAAGTCTGTATATGCAATAAAGAATGCTTGTCATACTCACTGTGGAACTTAAGCCATTGTGTAAAAAGGAGGTTTGATCCTGTCTTCTCTGATCCTCCCCTTCCTCTGCTGTCCCTGGCTCATGTCCTGATAGAACAGAGTCTTGGTGGCAGGCTACACATGCTCAGTTTGGTGTGTACTACTAGAGAGCTTTTTCTTTATCTTGGAAGGGTGCCTGTGATCAGCACAGGGCCAATCAGCACTGTCCAGACAGAGGGTCGGGGGTTATGCAATTGCATAGGGCAATAAGAGAATGAAAACTCCTACTAGCTTTAACCAGTGCTCAACTTACACTGATAAAAGTCACAAGACTGTTCTAATCGCTATTGAGAAAAAGGTATTTAGCAGTTTATATTTACTAAAATAATTACATTTCCATGTTCTGTGTATTGTGTGAGACCAGATATTATTATTATACAGGATTTATGTAGCGCCAACAGTTTGCGCAGCGCTTTACAATATAACGGGAGACAGTACAATTACAACACATTTCAGTACAGAAGGAATATGAAAGGCAGACAGGGTGGGGGCTGATCGGACATACTGGGTTAGGGAGTTCCTAGAGGATGGGAGAGGCTCTGGGGAAGTCCTGGAGGCGAGCGTGGGAGGAGGTGATGAGGAAGCTAGAGAGCAAGATGTCTTGGGAGGAGCGGAGTGGGTGTTTTGGACAATATCTGCAAATGAGGTTGTTGATGTAGCTAGGGGCAGTGTTGTGGATGGCTTTGTAAGCTGTGGTTAGTATTTTGAATTTTATACGTTGGGTTAGTGGAAGCCAGTGAAGGGATTGGCAGAGAAGGGCAGCAGTAGCTGATTGGTTGGTAAGGTGTATGAGTCTAGCAGCAGCATTCATAATAGACTGAAGGGGGGATAGCCTGTCTAACGGTAGCCCAGGGAGGGGGGAGTTGCAGTAATCAAGGCGGGATAAAACCAAGGCGTGGATAAGCGGTTTTGTGGTGTCATTGGTCAGAGAGGGGAGGTTTTTGGAAACGTTCGAGGTTGAGGCGGCAGGATTTAGCCAGTGAGTGGATGTGGGGCCCGAAGGAGAGGTCAGAGTCTAGGATTACGCCTAGCACCCTGGCATGAGGGGAAGGACCAATGGTTGTGCTGTTGATCTTAATGGTAAAGTCATGAGTGGGGGATCGGGGGGGAGGAAATATTACAAGCTTGGTTTTGGAAAGATTGAGTTTAAAGATATAGTGAATTAGTAACACTTTAAGCTGAGGTTAGAAGTTGGTTTTTATGCAGAAGTGAATCTAATTTTGCACTCTCCAGCTTTAGTAAAGAAACCCCTTAGTGTAGTTCCCCATGAATAGCTGCAGGTGAATCCTGTATAGTAAAAAAAAAAAAAAAAAAAAAAAAAAAAAAAAAAGTCTGTCAGCCTCCTATTGCTTTAAATGAGGCTTCCCATCTGCAGCTATTCGCTGGGAACCTCGCTGGAACTCCTATGGGCAATCGCAGTCGGCCCCATTTGCAAGTGTAAATGGGGCCCCACACAGAAAAGTCAGCTCCTTTTATGATGCAATAGCTATATTTTACATTTTTAGAGGAAATTGTGCATGATCATATGTTTGACAATACCTTCAATACCTCCTTTGAATACTTTTACTTTTTTATAGGTGATAACCACCGATGCTGAAAATATCTTGTTATGAGCTTTATATTTTTGGTTTTCTTGCAAGGACCTGCTACTTTTTATAGGGTGTCAACTGTTGTATTTTGTCTTTGAAAAGTAATCAAGTCTGAGCAGACCATAAGGTCTCATGCACACGGGTCTGCTGAGGTTTACAACATCAAACACAGGATACACAGAATCTTGCTAGCCGGATGGTTTTGCAGTCAAAGGCTCATTGAGACAGATGCTGGAGACCTATTCTCCGTGCTGACCCATTTTTCGCTGCACGTATATCCACCTCAGAGCTGTGTGCAGGAAGCCCAAAGACGTGGATGCAGATGCTGTGCGTTCAAATCTGTGCATCCGCTCCTGCCCACATTTCAAACTTTGACACGCGGCTCTGTCCTTGCAGCTGCTGCGTCCGTTTGCACTCAGCTCCAAGGTGGATGCAGATGCAGCAAAAAGCAGCTCAGCACAGACGACAGGTCTCACCGTCTGTCTCAATGAGCCTCAAAGCTGTAGTAAACACCACTTGCTCACTTATACCTACAGGTAAGCTTCTAATAAAACTTTCCTGTAGGTACAGGAATATCTCCTAAACTTCCACCATTTAGGAGATAAATCACTACTTCTGCAGCCGGTGACATCACGGTCATTGTGCTCTGAAGGGACAGCATACCGTCTCTTCAAAGCGATGTGCCGCGATCCTGGTTCGCATGCTCGCGAGTGGTGTCCTCGCAGCTTGGTCATTCAAGCAGCCGGAGTCCATGAACCCTGAAGGTGCTACCTGGTGAATATGAAAGCTCTATCAGCATTGACAGCGCGCCACTGGAGGCCTTCGTTTTAAGGTCAGTCTCTCATAATGTGCTAGTATGCAATTCATATGAGTACATTATGACATTAACTTACAGGGGGAAAGTTTCTCTTTTTTTGGTTCACTTTACTACCGCTTTAAGTTGTCCAAATGCCATACACATGAACCATCTGTATAACGTTTACATATATAAAAGTGAACAGCGTTTATTGCAGCCTCTTGGTTGCTAGGGCACAGGACGCCATCGCCTTGAAATCTCCACTCGCCTGCTCGCATTGGCGAGTGGAAATTATGGTGGGGGCGAGTGTGTCCCTAGGGCCATTTTGCTGAGCAGGCTCGGAACTCAGAGCCGGATCTGTCACTCGCACTGGGAGCTGTCAGACTGCTCAATAGTTGAGCAAAAGTTAAAGCAAAGGAAAGAGTGTGTGCTGTGCTCTCTGCCTCCCCCTAGAGTGCAATACCCGGCTCTGTGAGTTAACGTAACGAAGTACTGCAACTTTTTATAGGGATGGATATGGGTGTGTGTGTATTTGTATGTGTGTGTATGTACATGTATCTGTATGTGCATGTGTGTATTTGTACATGTGTTTGCGTGTACATATTTGTGTGTATGTACGTACATGTGTCTGTGTGTATGTACATGTATGTGTCTGTACATGTGCCTGTGTGTGTATACATGTGTACGTGTTTCTGTGTGTGTATGTACATGTCTGTGTGTGTACAGGTGTCTGTGTGTATGTACGTGTCTGTATGGGCGGTTTGGTCAGGTTCAGGATTTTGTGGTTATTATGGGTGGTAGAGTATGGGGCACTCGAGGCATTGCTGGGTTGGATAGTAAGTAGGATATGCTTGGTAGAGTTATGGTTTTGTGAGTGAAACATTATGGGAGGTTAAGGTTGTATGCGGTGCATGGTCTAAGTATGATGGAGTGTTTTTAGGGGGACATTGGAGGCCCTGATGTAATGTGGGGAGACTCTGGGGACCCTGATGTAATGTGGGTAACATTTAACAGTGTCATTTCATGAAATAATTAATGAGGGCGTGTTTAGGGGAGAAATTAGGGGTGTAGCAGGGTAGGGGTTGGGTGGGGCAACTGGTGGCGAGTAACTCTTAAGGCCTGGCTAGTAGCTCAGGACTTGAAATTTTAAGACCTGATTTTAATATCATTAAAAAGGTGAGAACTTTAGAACTAATTTTTATATTTTCAGCAGGAGGTCAACCCCGAAGACCCCAGTCACACTGGATGCAAATTAGCATGCGATTTGCATGCCATGCAACTTGCAAATCGCCAAATTTAAGTCTACTGTCCGCAATTAGAGCGGTCATATCGGTGCAGTTCTGACTTGGTCAGAGCCACACAGATTTCTAAAGTAGTACATGCACTACTTTTGGTGTGATTTGCATAGACATCTGTGTCAGATGTCTTGCAAATCGCACCTGAAAAATAGCAGGTCCCTCGACTTTGAAATCGTGAGACTTCACTGTAAGTCACACGATTTCAAAGTAGGGTTTGATGTGACTGGGGTGTAAGAGCCCACACATATCCTTCAGGGCAGGTTAACTTTAAATAAATATTACATTAGAATATACAGGGAACATTACCGATAATAGGAGCTAAATGTAATATGCAACGAGAGAGGACTTTTCTATGTTCAAGTGATATTTAGTGTTGACAGGGGATATTGCCAGGGACAAAAAAAAATAAAAAGACAAGACCAAATTTCATTAAAAATGAACTGACCGCAAAAATCATTAATAGCACGTGACTAATAAACATTACATTAGATTATACAGGGAACATTAATGATAATAGGAGCTAAATGTCATATGCAAAGAGAAAGGACTTTTCCATGTTTAAGTGATGTTCAGTGTCGATGGAGGATATTGCCAGGGATTAAAGAAAGACAGGCCCAAGTTTTATTAAAAATGAACTGAGCACAAAAAACATAATTTGGGGGTGATTAATAGATATTACATTCAATTATACAGGGAACATTAACGATAATAGGAGCTAAAAGGAATATGCAAAGAGAGGACTTTTTCACATTTATATGATATTCAGTGTTGGAGGATATTGTCAGGGGCAAAAAAAAAAAAAAAAAAAAAAAAAAAAAAAACCCGGACCAAATTTTATTACAAAATTAACTGACCACAAAAATCATTAATAGGGGGTGACTAATAGATATTACATAAGATTATACAGGGAACATTAATGATAATAGGAGCTAAATGTAATATGCAAAGAGAGAGAACCTTTCCACATTCATATGATATTCAGTGTTAACGTGGAATATTGCAAAAAAAAAAAAAAAAAAAAAAAAAAAAAAAAAAAAAATGACAGGACCAAATTTAATTAAACATGAACTGACCACAAAACCCATTAATAGGGGGTGACTGTTATAAATATTCTGCATATAAAATATACAGAACAATATGGGCAGCACAGTGGCTAAATGGTTACACGTCCGCCTGGCAGTACTAGGGTTATTGGTTTGAATCCCAACAACAGCATCACCTGCCTGGAGTTTGCATGTTCTCCCTGTGCCTGCGTGGGTTTCCTCCGGGTACTCCGGTTTCCTCCCACACTCCAAAGACATGCTGGTAGGTTAATTGGATCCTGTCTAAATTGTCCCTAGTATGTATGAATGTGAGTTAGGGACCTTCGATTGTACACCCCTTGAGGGTTAGGGACTGATGTGAATGTACATTTTGTGTAAAGCGCTGCGTAAATGGACGGCGCTATTTAAGTACCTGAAATAAATAAACACGGCATTGCACATGTGTAGTCATCCTGCAGATCATTCGGTTTTAGACAGGCTGGCAATTTCAAATGCTGTACCATGTAAAGAAACAGCAGTTTTTCAAGTATAAATGCTCAGTCCCATTCTATGCACATGCGGTCCCGGTACGTTACTGCTACTTTTAATCACTGAGTTCAGCTGATATTGCCAGAGTTCTACCACGTTATCACATCTTATTACATTTTCTGAATACAGTCACAAGCTGTTTGTTGCTGTACCGTTTCATGTATTGTCCCCCCCCCCCCCCCTCTATTGTACAGCGCTCAGCAAACCCTTTGGCGCTATATAAACTCGATGTAATAATAATAAGGGTACTTACATGTCGTATACTGCTTTCTTAGGTGGTCATCAAAAAAAAGTGAGTTGTAACAAATAAAAAATGTGATAAAAAGCAAAAAGTTATTTTCATTAGAAGATTATCTTCTTATTAAAATGTCTTGAGTACGGAGAAAAATTCTTGTTCAGCTAATGACTGAGCAGCTCTTCCTCTTCCACTGCTTAATTCAGCACTAACAGCAAGCAGATACTGTACGTCTCCTCCCCTTACTAGAAACTGCTACTATGTTGTAACAGGCATTGGCTTGAAAACTGTGTTTGTACATGTATGCCCACGTATTTCTGTTTACCAAGACAAATTCTTTACGGTATTCAGCTGTAAGTATCAGGAAAGTAGGAAGCCCATACCAGCAGCAAGTAATTTAAAGCACATCTATCACCTGGAAATAACAGAGGTAGCCGCCTATCAAAATGGATAACAATTGTACCTCTAATGGATTGGGTTAATGACAGTTAGACACATAGGGGTTTATTTACTAAAGCTGGAGAGTCCAAAATCAGACTCCCTTCTGCATAGAAACCAATCAGCTTCCAGGTTTCATTGCCAAAGCTTCATTGAACAAGCTGAGGTTAGAAGCTGATTGGTTTCTATGCAGAAGGGAGTCTGATTTTGGACTCTCCAGCTTTAGTAAATAAACCCCATAAGGTTTGCTTCATTCCGAATCAAAATTCTGACAACATTTTTGCATTTTTGTTATTCAGATTTATCCAAATCTCTGAATCACAACAGTAACACATTTCAACAAATCCAAAATAAATTATAACAACAAATTCATTCCTACTCATTCTATGCAATAGTATAGGTCTTTTGTCAATGTTTGAAGCATCCAAAATAACTTAATGACATAACAAATGATTCAAATTGATTTGTATCCATTTCATTTTTATGTTGCATTAACATTTTTCATTATTATAAAAAAATGCTCTACATATGAAATGGAAACATACTGCAATAAATACAGTAAGGTATAAAAGTGAAATAGGATGATGATTCATGCTTATTGTGTGTGGGTTTCATATAGATGGATCCATCAGAATCTCTGAATCATAACATGACAAAAGAATCCGAAATGAATGTCACTCTATTTGTTCATTCGGATCCATTTTGTTTTTATTTTGCATTAACATTTTTTATTATAAAAAAAAAAAAATCCGCTCATTCCATTTCTCTTTGTGGGTTGGACTAGCTGGGATGACTCTAAGTGCATAAGTAATTTCCCGAAATAACAATAATGATAATAACCATAATAGTGTTATTCCGAAATACACAAAATAAAGCCAAAACATACAACACTAATCCGAATATACAAAACAAATTCTAAAAAACAAATCATTCTAACATAACAAATATGACGTGTTTTCATCATGCACGTCTCTAATATGAAGAGAAGAGATTAGCTGCCAGATTAACTGTTAATTTTTATCAATTTAGAGAGGCTTGTCTTAAAGTGGTTGTAAACCCTGGCATATACCCATTGAAGTGACTGACCTCAGGTGATACAAAGATGAAACAAATCCTCCTACATAAGTTGTACTTGTTTATTTGAGGTCTTCTCTTCTCTAAAGCCATTCAAAGTCCAGAATTTATACAGCTTGCCTAAGCTTCCAGAAAAGAGGGAGGGAAGAGTGATTCTAAAAAGGAAAAATTTCTTTAAAAAAAAAAAAAAAAAAAAAAAACACCACATCAAACATGTCTATACTTACCTGCGTTCTGCAATGGTTTTGACAGTGCAGCCCCGATCCTCCTCTTTCGGTACCCCTGGCCCCTCAGCCCCATACCCCCTTAGCAAGCCCCCACCCACACTTTCTCCTCATTGGCCTGACTGTCAAGCCAATCAGGAGAGAGAGAACCGGAAGAGCCACTGCTCCATTACACATCGCTGGATTGAGATGGGCCTCAAGTATTAGAGGTTGTGGGGGGGAGTGGGACTGGTTGCATAAGGTTTTAAAGTAAAAAAAAGCTTGAGACTTCGAAACACTTTAAATTACACTATGCAGAGCTCAGTGAGAGGAGCTCTGAGAGCTGATTGGAGGGAAGGGACGCACCCCTTCTTCACACAGGAACAGAGCTGAGACTGTCAATCACAGGCTGTGTGCTTGAACTCCCTTCCCTGTCACCTTTTTACCTGCTGGTGTCAGAAGTCACTCATACAGAAATCAGAGGAATGAGGCAGCAGACAGAAGTGACAGTGCTCTGAATTGATCCAAGCACACACTATAGAAGGATATGTTTTGTTCATATTTCATGTCTGAAGTTTATGACCACTTTAAAGTAGTTCTAAAGGAAGGGTTTTTTCCCTTAATGCAGGGGTGGGCAACTGTGGCCCTCCAACTGCTGTTGAACTACAAGTCCCATCATGTCTCTGCCTTTGGGAGTCATGCTTGTAACTGTCAGTTTTGCAATGCCTCATGGGACTTAGTTCTACAACAGATGGAGGGCCACAGTTGCCCACCCCTGCCTTAATGCATCCAAGCAAGTGGCTTGATATGGGGGGCAGACACAGAGGAGGAGGAGCTGCTGGAACCTGCTAAATTTTGATCCATGTAGGGTCAGCTTAGGACAGGAAGTGGGTTCTGTCCAGATCACCAGGTGAAAACAAGAAACAGCCTAATAAAAGAAAAAAAAAAAAACTTCTGGAGCCGCCACATTTAAGGACTGGTAAGCTGCAATAGATTACATTCTTGTTTTAGGGTTTAGGTATACACTGCTCAAAAAAATTAAAGGAATACTTTGAAAACACATCAGATGTCAATGGGGAAAAATATCATGCAAGATATACATACTGATATGGACTGGGTAATGT